GCCTGGCTGGTGCAGCCCAAGCCTCGGTGGCTTGGAGGTAACGGCTGGCTGCTAGACGGCCCTGAAGAGGTTCTGCAAGGTGAGTATACACACTCGACCAGTCAGTGAGGTCAGAGAAAATACTTGTAACCATCATTAGGGTCTCAAAAACAAGAAATGACTCTGTTGTATTTCATGTTTGGGATTTCTTCTAATATTTTCTGCCTCTTAGCTGAAGCCTGCAGTACAACTGAGGATGGAGATGAGCCACTCCACTGTCCCACAGGTTATGAATGCCACATTATCAATGCAGGAAACCCTGCTGCTGGCATCCCCAATCGGGGTCAATGTATCAAGCATCGTGGAAACTCTGGTATTTCTGATAACTCAAATAGATTTTAAATCCAAATGTTTAATGCATGTTAATGTTGTCTTCTACCTTAATTTCCCATTAGAGCTACCCCCTGTCTATCTGATCTAATGGACCTTATCTTGTGCTCTTTTAGTTTGTCCCTACACCAGGGACAGGGACAGGATGCAGGGCTTAAGTCTTGTCTGGTTTCTCCTGGCATATATAATGAAGCCAAGTGCTGAGTTTCTCTTTTAAATGGGTTAAAAATATACAAATTGGCAACTCAGAGGAACACCTCGAGATGTACAGCCATTGGCAGAATGTTTAAATAGATTTAATAAAGAGAACATGAGCTTTTTGGTTTCTCTAACTCTTTATTGCCATTTAAGCAAGAATTACAGTGTGTAGTATATGGGAATCAGATCTTTTTTTTTACAATATGTGGGTAATTGTATTTACAGATGGACATTTCTTGAGGTACAAATACTTTAAGGACTACTTGGGTAAGTGAGGTAATGCAGAAAACTTGAAAACCTGTATGTTAACTGAATGAGAAATAACATCTATCTGTCTGACATTGTTTTTTTTTTTCAGGTATCAGTTCTAACAATGCAGTCAGCTATGACAAACATCACAAGTACCTGGGATAAAGGACATTTTCAGCCACTTTCAACTGTCATATTAAAAACCAAATACCTGTTTATCCTTACCTCTCTTCCACAAAAGCCTTGTTTTTTTTTTTATGTTACCAAGGTCAACCTTGACCCCAGCCTCAGCTTCAACCATAACACAGCGTCAGACATCAGCCCACTTCTGTTCGATCTCATCACACCTGAACTAGCAAAAAGTCTGACTTTTTTTGCTACACTTAAAGCTGCTACCTCCTCTTTGCAAAGCTTCAACTTGCAGCCTCTATTCAGTCATGGCATGCTTTTGGAGACAGGTCTGATGTCAGACACACCTACAGTACGAAGCCAAAGAATGCTTTTTTTTGTCTCTGATGTCTGTGAAATGAAGGTGCAGAGGGTGCTGATGGTACACAGAGGAGGACGCTTAGATTACACAAAAGCTGCTTATCAAATCTTTCTTTCTTTCTTTCTAACTCAGTAAAACCCCAGTACCACTCACTCTCACACACAGACACACTCTCTAACCTTAAGGCTGACTAGCAGAAAAAACCAAGACCAAGTGACCCTGTTACTCATCCTCTGAAAGATGTTGCTTTTCTCAAATCTGGAAGGTTTTATAGACAAATAAGAGAAATTAGAGCTGTAGTTGTTGCATTTTTGAAACAAATCCAAACATGAGTAAACATTCTGACTAATAACACCAGTTATAAGAATAAATGCCATATGAGTTTCGAGGGTATTGTTGGTTTTGGAGGATTTGGAACAGCTGTACAACAAATGCTGACCATGACTTCATTGCATCTGAAATAAGTCAAACTAGTTCACTCAAGGGTTTGGGAGAAATTTTGAGTAAAACAGATACTTCACTTGTGAAGGAGGAAAGCTTTAACAGCTTTTAAAAGCCACTTTTTAATAAGCCTAGAGAGGGCAAGTGCTGACAAGACTGATTTGGGGCGGATTGCCCCTTCACGCTTAAACTCTCTAAATATCCTGTAACAAATTTACTGAATTGACATTTTTAACGCAACAAGTCATACAACAAACATCCACCAGTGCAGTACTGTATGTCAACCAAAACAAAATAATCCAGTCTGTTAAACTGTCACACCACCACAATCCTTTGTTTTTGTACAGACATGAGAATAGACGGGCCTTTTGCACAGAGTAGATGGTCAAATTGTCTCCTGTGTTATTCTTAAACAACTTTTTGAAGTCAGCTGTTTAATTTAAGTTGTGTCTGTTGTGAGTTCAAATGGTGCTCAGTTTCTGTGGTGCCTATAGTAACAGAAGAATAAGCTGGTCAGATGACAGTGTAAAACAAAAGCTGTAGCCATTCTCTGTTTCCAAAACTAAAGTGATTTCTGAATGTTGCTATCTGACTGGTGCTGTAATGCTTTTTCATTCTGAATAAATCACACTGTGTGAGTTTTGTGATGTTTTTGTTGCAAATAATCTTAGGCTTCCAACCTACATTGATAATTTACAAATGATGATTTCATATAAAAAGCAGGCTTGGAAGTATGGAGGTTTGAGTGGGTTAAATAGTGTGAAAATGGAAGAGGTGTAGTTTGGGTCAGGTCCTGCACCCAAACTTCAGAGAATTACATTATTTCCATAAAATAACAAGTAGATCATAACACTGTAATCACTACACCACAGAGACTAATTCTATCCTGGATTGTCATTATTCTTTACCAGTACATTTAACAGAAGCAAAAATGAGCTGAATACAGTGATTAGTTTTCATCTGCAGTAGTTTCTAAAATAAGGCCTAGAGACCCCAGGGAGTCTTTCTGGCAGTTTGAGGATGTCCCCAGAAAAATGAAGCCCACGACAAAAAGTGTCTTCTTCCAAGAAAGAAATACTTTTTATAAAAATACTTTTAGACTGATGGCCTTGACTTACTGTATGGAGACAAATTTAGTTTTATTTGATCTGTTAATTACTGATTAGACCACAATGAAAACAGGTTTGATCAACTGAGTTATTTTGAGTTGCACTTGCAGCAGAAAGTGACAGGAGCTTAGGTCATGCTCCACACCTGGAGACATTTTTTAAAAAATCATATGAGTTACACATATCAAACTAAATGTTTGGGGACCTCTGTCAACACCAGCCACTCCCCATGTGCAAGGACAGAAATTTCTGTAAAACACAGGGAAAGGCAAGCAGCTGTTGTCTCCACTGTCTGAGCAAGGGTCTTTGTACAGTGTGCTTTCAGTGCAGCAGTATACTTTGAGTCATTAGCTTAGTTTGGACTTTTTGGAGAAAAGGTTTTTGTTTTTTTTTCAAATAATAGAGACAAATCTGGAGACTGTTGTTGTGTCCAATACAGAGATTTGACTGGTGCTTTCCATGTGTTATCACCAGGTTAGATCCCCCCTGTACATGAACTCTTCACTGCCACCTTGCTGATATATTTCACCATGAGCAGGATGAATAAAGTATCAGAGAAAAGGCTAGTGGGGTAGCTTATTATCTATATAGTGTGTGGATAATAAATTGCTTTATGTTTATTTATGTGTGCTACAATATATCAGCATTATTCTTTCTCAATGGCAGTAACCCTGCTGTGGACTATTTAAAAGGTTAGCCAAATGTATACATGACTATTAGATGTTGCTGTTTGTTTTTTGACATGTAGGCCTACAGTAGCCTACCATTTACCAAAGTTCTTTATTTGTTTACATTTCCTGAATGAAACAATCCTATTGGCACTTCAGCTCAGGAAACTGACTGACCTGACACCTCTATAAAGCAAGCTGAGGTTGATGTGGAGCTCGATGTGTTCAAATGTAAGACAAACGTGCCCAGAAGGTGTCAGTGTGGTTTATACAAACGGCTTCTCCACGGGAAACTGTCTTACAGCTGTGAATGTGTATATATACTGTATACAGTATATATGCTCACAGGTTCAGGTCATCAAAGCATTGTGTTCTTAGAATGCTTGTCATTTCAGTCAACGTCAACAGTAGCATGGACAATATTAACTACTGTGTGCACATGCTTTATTTTTCAATCCTGAGTCAATACATATTGACATAGGCTAATTGAAGAATAGTTTAGTTGCATGAGCAGCATGCCTTATGTGCAGTTACATTAAATTAATATTTCACCTTTGGACAGGAATGGTTCCAAACATAAGCTATTAAAGGAAAGAAAAGGCACCTTTCCACTGTTGATCAAGGAAGGCAGACAGGCAAATGTTCTCAATAAATCATTTTTCAATATTGAATTTGTTTACAAAGTGATAGTTGTGTTTTTTTTTCCAACCCAACTGCTTCAGTATATTGCTCTAACCTATACTGTTGGCAATGCTTTTGTGGGTGACTGTTTACCCTGTACTGTAAATGAATGTTATTTAGGTGATTGTGTGCACTCAGTAAAACTGATTAATTAAGGAACATAGCCTGCCTGCTGATGTTCTTGACCTGCACCACTAAACCATCTTAGAGCCCTTTTCCTATTTGCAAATGTTGGGAAAGCAAAACTACCCAACCCTGAGTTATAAGGCCACATTGTGTATCTGAAGTCTTCAGCTCTGACACCATCTGGATCATCATCATCCCCTCTTCCTAGAAAGTCCCACAACTCTTTTCTCTGCTCTACAAGGATAGGTTCATGCAGCAACAGACTGCCTTACCCTGCTCTGCTCCTGATTAGTGTTTCAGAGCCTTTTGGCCCTGCCTCACTGAACTCTGTTTCAACTTAAGGTTGATTAAAATTTAATACAGTTAAAAGAATGTCACCACAATAATATGGGTCATTGTCAATTGAAATACAAATACCAAAACAGACTCAGACCTGAGTGAACTGTCTTATGTTGACCACATTGCATACTGCAGGGTGTGCTGACCAAATTCTTTCATGTTTAATCCCACCGTGGCTCTTTTATTTGCTCTGATCTCAGCACTTTAAAAAGAACCCCTCAGTTGCAACAGATCTTCTTATTAACTGGAAATGGCACTGCTGGCAAGATTTTAAATCAAAAGACTCTGAAGATAAGAGCAATGAAAATCTTTAAATGTCAGTAAGAAACTGGAAAAACCAATATGTAAGGCATCATTTGAAGTTGTTAGGTTTTATACTGTGAGTGGACTCCACACTCAGAGAGACAGTTTTATTTTTTTTTCTAAGTTGGGATATCAGTAGTGTACAACACAGAGCATGTGCGTCATTACAAGACGCAAGCAGCTGCTCTCAGTAGATGCAGTGTGCCCCTTCAAAATGTGACATGTGTTTTCTTCTTTGTAGCTTTGACACAGTATGACTCACTACTGAAGTCCATTTTTTAAGCTCCCTTTTATATTTTTATATCATAAAGTGCTATCAGATCCTTCCAGTAAAGTCATATATTATATTATATTGCATGCATGTCATATCTTTTGGCCACTTGTGCTGCAAGTTAGTTATTTTCCATTATCAATCATTTTCTCAAAGGACCTTTTCATAGTTTGGTGTATAAGATGTCAAATATATTAGAAAATGTTTATCAGAGGTTTATACAACAGAAGATCTTTAGATGATCTTCAACAATTCAAAATCCAAAAGTATTCAGCTTATAATGAAGGTCTCACTGGAGAAGCTACAGTAGAGCCAGAGAATGGTTTGTGTTTTTGCTTAAACAGTGACTTAAATGGTTGATTGATTGTCTAAATAAATGGAGAATAATTCTCTCTGGATTGTCTAATCTCTTAATTGAGTTATACTTGTTACCTTAAAAGAAAACAGTCACTACACTGTTAGATCATGACCTTGATTACTTTTTGTGCACTTGCTGACCTGCATTAGAGTATTGTTTCTCAGAGTAGACCCACACACCTGGCTCAGGTTTTACCCCCACACAGTGTGGAATAGGGAGTGTACTTCCCCATTATTCTGATGAACTCTGCCCCTGATAGGATTTCTCATCATAGCTTTGTCACTCGTTGACACCGGACCCCCTGATTTAAAGCAGGTCATCTGGAGAGAGGGCTCATCTCAGCTGAAAATGGCTGATATCAGTGTCACAGAGCACAGGCTTCACACTGCCACAGTACTGTGCATTGGTGACCGAGACTAAAATATATTATAACCCCTATAAGCTTGCAATATTTTCTAATGACCTCTCTGGCTTCTGCCATGCACATGTGTGAATAAGACTGTGCTGCCATGTGTGCAGTTTAAGGTGTTTGTGCAGTTGATTATGCATGCTTGCAAGCCATCAGAAAGGCCTCTGGCTTGTCACGGCTGTTACATGGCCCATGCTTCTCAACATGTGAATCTCCATGTCCTCTTAACACCATAATAGATCCAGGTATAGCAGCATCCTCGGTACTGTGGATGACTGTTATCCCTCCTACTGCTCCACGCAGGAGTGTGACATCTTGGGCATTGTTTGACTTTTGTCCTGTCAAGTCTGAACCCAGTCTGAGCTGACATGTCACAGCTGCAGGTTTTTATCGTGAGGAGATGTCGTGGTGCTGCTCTAGAGACGACAGCTGGACGGAGATACTCCCACAGTCTGATAAATATTAATTGGATTTACAAAGAATGCTAGGTAAACACAGCCACCCAGGGAGATTTGTTAATGAGTACCTGGCTGAGTTGCATGAAAGGTCTGTTTTCCTTTAACAGTGAGTCATGCGATACAGAGCTGCTAAACAGGGTATGCCAACGTCCTCCCCCATCACACCTTTATATTTCCATCTCCATAAGCTCCGGAGGAATGTTGTGTAATAATGTGTGAGATCTTATCTAAAATATTGTTATATAAGAAGATTCAGCTGTTGTTGCCTTGTTAGGCTCACAGTGTGCTTCATAGCATGCACAAGATTTCACAGCTCTTTTTTTATTTTTGGAGAACATTACCAATATTGTTTCTAGAACAGCAAGTACTTCCACCTCTAACACTAAGAATAATAATTGCATAAATAAATTGGCTGTTTAACCTATGTTATGAAAACAAACAGATGTCAAATAAAATGAAAAAAATCATCAATTGTTTACAGTTTTGTTTTATTTTGTAGTTTTTATTCCAACTAAGTGTTTAGAAAAGTGCTATATAAATACATTTCTTCTCCATATTATTATTATGATAATACTCTCTCCTCCACTTGCCCCCACTCATAAAGACCGACAACTGTGTTACATAAGTGTGATCAGTATAATCAGGATAAATTTAGTAGTCATGTCTGTGTTTGTCTCATAGGCCAGTGTATGTCAGTATTTGCTGTACCTGTAACCTGTGTTGAATGAAACAGGCCTGAATGCCAGTCTGGTACATTACACCTGGCCCTGGGGTAATAAAGCCATTAATGTCTCCTTCACAGACTGAATCTGCCATCTGTACTTTGAAGGTGCTGTCCGGAACAATTCTGCAAATTTGTACAAATTTTTACAGTTTGAAGGAAGTGCATTGTC